CTTTTCGGCCCGTGCAATCCATGTTTTCCCTTCATCCTTCCTCGAAGCTCAGGCTTTGCCAAATCCACATACATTTCTCCCGGGTCATTTTACTCGGTCTTTCTCAGGTCCTGCCAATTCTGCATGCATATCACCCTTTGTCCTTTCTTGCCCTTTACTTAATTGACTTTCCATGTGCAATGCTCAATTCATCCCTCGTACATCTCTTTTTTAGACACCTTGTCAGGCCTTCTTTTCAAGCCCATGCAAGCCAATTACTCATCCGTTTCCCAGCCTACCAGTCTTTTTTCTCAGCTCCATGCAAAGTCCATACAAGTCTTTTATTTTCCGGACGTCTTGCCCGACCCATTTTCAAGCTCATGCCAAATCAATCACACAAGTCTTTTTCCCTTCTCGGCATCTAGCCAGGCCCCTTTTCCCAGGCCCACGCAAAGCCAATTACACAATTCTTTCCTGTTCTGGGCATCTTGCCAGACCCCCTTTTCTCAGGCCCACGCAAAGTTAATTACACAAGTCTTTTGCATGCGTTTTCATTGGTAGATGGCACACCTTCCCCCCACTCGAAACGCGATGTCCCCATCGTGCGATTGGTTCTCACTCGGAGGTACGCAGACCTTTGGCCCGCTGACCGCAGTCAAGGACACAAGCCCATCCGCTTCACAAAAGGAAGAGTGATCAGTTCCTCCCCAGCGGGTGGCGCCTCATCCTCCTACTCGATCCGACCTTTTTCTATTACGTGGTGAGCACCAATACTGAGGTTCCTCCTCATATTTGGCAGGTAGGTCCAGTCCAAACCTCCCAGGGCCTCGTCTAGCCGTAAGAGCTTTCCTCGCGAACCGTTCCTCCCGAGTGGTAGTTTTCTGGATCCGGCCTCTTCCTTGCAAGAGAGTTGGGGCTCTCTATTAGTCCGTGAGTGCAGTTACGAAGACCTCGCAATTAGTCCCGAAACGGTTGTAATGTTCCGGCAGGGCAGCGTCAATGCCCTGTGGTGGTGGCAACCTCCACCCGGTACCTCGCCAACCTCTCTCCTTGGACAGTGTTTCCCAACTTAGTGCGGGCAGCCGAGGTCCGACCCAAACGGCCATGCCACCCCTCTATGGTATGGCGTGTGGTTGGAGAGTAGCAAAATAGACTAGAATAAGAATGGCTCTCTCGCCCATTTGGTTCTTTTACCCTTTGACGTTTAGGATCTCATCACGAGGCGCAATTTGAACTCCCCGACTAGAGCTCATTGTCGGGGTCAGTTCCGGACGTCCCGCACCGATCCAACTGGTAGGTGCCTTGGTCCTTTAACCCTCATCCCTTTGTAAGAGGAACAGGTCGCGCTGAGACTTTTTCCCTTTAAGGGATAAAGGTACTGGGGTCGCGGTGCAAGCACCGATATCCCCCTCTTGCTAAGGTCGAGGACTAGAAGAAAAGATAAATCCATTTCAATGCTATTTCCATGTCCATTTCAAGTTGCCTAGGGTCCCCTGTTTATGTAACGCAATTTCCAGTGCTCATTCCAATTCCAATGCCTAATCCAAGTCCAATGCTCACGCCCATTCCAAGACTCAATCCAATTCCAAAGCTCAGCCCAATTCCAAGGCTCAATCCAATTCCAAAGCTCAATCCAGTATTTCTTCCAAGGCTGAGTCCAGTATCTTTTTCAAAGCTGAGTCCAATTATCTTTTCCAAAGCTGAGTCCAATATCCTTTCCAAAGCTCAGCTCTTCTCAATCTCATCAGTCTCAAACAATCGTGCAAGGGGACCCCAGTGCCAATTCCAAAGAATGTCAGGGGCCATTCCGAACAACCTGGTTAGGGTCGTTCTTATCCATTTCCTTCGGATGACCTGGTTAGGGCCATCCTTATCCATTTCAATCGGACTGCCTGGTTAGGGCCATCCTTATCCATTTCCATCGGACAGCTTGGTTAGGGCCATCCTTATCCAATTCATTTGTTAGCGCCTGAGGGGGTGGGCCTCGAGGACACGGATCCTATCTCTGTTTCGAAGGTTAAAAGGTGGCCATCTCTTGGGTTTTACGCATGCCTTTGCCTTTTGTCTTGTGCCAATCATCATTCTCATGTCCATACATACACCTGACCTAGCGTCTAGTGATCGAATTGAGGCTCGCAACCCCAAGCAGCACTAGCCCACCTGGTCGTTCAACCATAGCGAAGGGGGTGTGTGTCATCACTATTTTCTCCCTCTCTCTGTCCTCTCATGCCTCTTGTTGCTCTTGAATTATCTGGGACTGGTTGGATTAGGCTCCTTGGGAAGAGGATTCCTCATGCCTCTTTACACATAGGTCACCTAACCTCTCTCAAGAACTCGTACCATGACTCATTCGACCAGGGGTGCACATTCAAAAGGAAACTCTTTGCCATAGACGTCCTTCAATCTCAACAATTCACACACTCTCGCCCTTTTCCCAAAACAAGTCAATCATTCCCAGTTCATCTCTCACCATCAAGGATCCCCGTATTCCCAAAGGAGCAAGTAGTAATGGAAAGTAGCACTGGCTACCTAGTCCCTGTTTTACTTTCCCAGTTCAAAGAGCAGTTCCGTCGCGGTTTTTTCGAAAAGAAAAGACAATTTTGAATGCGAAAGCAACATTACAGAATTGTCTCATCTAGGCCCTCCCCTTTCTTCCCTTCACTTTCAAACCCAGTGCTTCATAGTCCTAGTCCCAAACTCATCGACCCACATGTCCTTCTGAAGAAGCAACTACTTATGGAAAGTAGCACTAGTTATCCAGTCTTTGGTCATTCTAAACAGAAAGTTGTCCCATTGTAGTCCATTCTCAGAAAGTTCAAATGCAAGATTCAAAATGGCAGTTCTGCCTGCCCAGGTTCCAGCCCTGCCCATTTTTTAACTATTCCCTGTTATGTCTACTACCCCTTTATTGCCCAGTTGCCCTGCGCCGAGCCTCCCTTGCACGATTGTCGATCTCCTGCTGCATCTTTCTCTTTGTCCTTTGCATCTGTTGGAGCTCCTCTTCTGTGAAAAATGTTGTTGGCGTTATGTCCTCTCCTCTGCTTAGTTTCTCCTTTCCTTTCATTGCCCCTTCATACCTCATGATACTGGCCCACTGGTCGAACCAGTCACTGGAAGACGGCCCAAATTCTCTTATCCACTTGTCCTTCTCGTCGCCTGGGTCCTCATCCCTTCCCCTTACTTCTCTCGTGGGCATTGTGACTTCGTCCTCCTCTTCCTCACTGCTGAGGTCTATGACCTTTTTGGGTTCTTCCTCTTCCATTCTCTGCCTTTTCCCAAGGCTCCCCTTCTCCTCACTACTAGTGTCACTATCAAATGGGAGAACTATTGGTCCCCCCTCTCTCAGGGGCGACGGTCCCCTGGGCCCTTGCTTTCTTCCCCCTCTGTTTACAACCAGATCGTGGTCAAATCCCACATACAACTTCCTTTTCCAGCCTGTCTAGTCGGTTGTTCCCCTGTAGGCCTGTTGATGGCATTGCTGTCATTCTCGTTTCCAAACTCCATCTTTATTCTTTCCTGCTATTTTTCCTCTTCCTTGGTCCTGTCCATACATAACAGTCACAACATCCCTCATGCACACATATTCCCTCCCAGTCTCATTTGCAGATTTACAGGCTTTCCCCAGAACCCTTGCTTACTCCCATATGATTGGTAGTCCCATTATCCCTCAAAACCCTTGGCACATTGTTCCAGCACATAGGTACCCCATGTAGACAGTCCCCAGAATTGCCACACAAGAAAAATTATGGCATATTGTCCCAGGTCTCAACCTCGTCCGTACTCAGCTCAGGCAGTCACCGCAGGTTCCACAGGAAAGAAGACACAAAAATGAACAACCCCTGCAATCATGATCACTTCCGCAGGGAGGCGGTATAGAATTATAGCCAGCTGCCTGTCTTTCAGGTTGTCAATTCCCCTGTTTCCTTGTCCTGAGCCTCCTGTAACCATTGTTCCACCGGATCCCTGCTCAAAAACCTGACCAGCCTCTGTCCCGGAAATGACCTTTTTATCATAGTACCATAAAGATCCTAAAGTTCAAAGGTTTTCAGCCCCACCCGCTTTGCGATCCTGTAGGGGCCCTTGAACCTCTTCCCCAACTGTCCAGACTATGTGCTTTCAAGTGTCGAGTTCCTAACTAGTACCTTTTCCCCCACCTGGAGCGGCTCCTTCCGGATATTCTTGACCTGGTCCCATCTTGCTTTGTCCCTCATTCAGCTGTCCATCACACGCTTAACCACATCCTCCAAGGCTTCCTCATTTCTAACAACCTGTTGGCAACGTGCGACGATCAGTTCCTTCGTGGACATGTTCGGATTGTCATCTAGCCTGTTCCAGGTAGGAACCAAAGCTTCCACCGGGAAATCAATCTCCCTCCCATACCAGAGTTCTGCCGGAATGCATCCCGTCGTCCTCTTTGGCGTCATGTTCTCTGAGAAGACGACCTGCTTAAGATACCGTGGCCAGTTTCCCAGGTCGTCTGCCGCCAACATAGCGATTGTGTTTTTCAAGGTCCGGTGCCCCCTTTCTACTGGTGCATTGGCCTCAGGGTGATATGGTTCGATGATTTTGATAGGTACGCACAGCGCCTTAAGCCTGCCCAACACCTCCTAGTTGACGAACTCTGTCCCATTGTCCGCTATGAACCTGCGCATAAAGGGGTGCCTAAGGTAGAAGTCTTCTACCCAATTGGCCACTCCCTTTCCTGTCTTTCTCTTAAGAGCTACTGCCTCCACATAACCACTGAGGTTGTCCCTTGCATCCAAGATATACGTGTATCCATACGTCGATACAGGCATGACCGCCAGGTCGAGGTGGACTAGGTGCCCCGGCCCTAGTACCCGGGTGCGTCTAAGGGGCTCGAAGACGCGTGCGGAGCTCCTTTCTTGGCATATCAGACACGTTTGACAGTATGTAGCCACCATATTTGTCATACCCGACCAAAAATAAAGAGGCGCAATTTTCGCAAGTGTCCCTTTGGACGACCGGTGCCCTCCGGCTAGCCCATCATGCATCACCTGGATTATGTCCAATTGCCTAGACCTTCCGCACACGACTCGCCTAGGCATCATTCCTTCTTCTTTCTTGAACAAGTGATCGTTCCTCAAAACATACTTTTCGGCTTCCTCCCTTGCCTTGAGGCTGACTTCCCTAGGCTGCTTGTTTCCTATAAGCAGCAGACCGATTTCTCTAAAGACGCCATCATACATCTGTATAAGGAAGAATTATCGTCCCTTCTGATCGGTGTCTTGCCCCTCCTTAGCCTGATTCACTAGATACCGCCGCTCTTTTCGCGTCCAAGTTTCTAAGATTCATCACAGCATTCCGTCCCCCTTCAACGGCCATTGCCATCAGCTCTTCCTTTGGCCCCATCGTTGCTCCCCACGAATCCTTCTCATCCTTGCGTCTAAACGTGATGACTGGCCCTTCCCTGAGTTCCGCAACTATGGCGGGCGCGCCCTTTTTTAGGGTCTGAATCAGCAGTTGGTCCATTGTAGGAGCGGTGCCTGCCATCTCGTTATCTACGACAAGGGTCCCCCCTTTGTATTCTAGGAAGGCGTCGATTGGTTCCGCATCCTCTACTCCCTCCGGCGTAATGCAAACCCGACTCAGCCCGTCTGCCCTATTTCGGAGCCCTGCAATTCGCTCGACCTTGTAGTCGAACTGCCATATGAAGCCTATCCACCTCCCAATGGCCGGGTCTATAGGCTTGTAGTTCTTTAGTGCTCCGGCGACATTGGTCGGATCGGTTCTCATGATAAACCGTCTCCCGGATAGGTACGCTTGGAAGGTCTTAAGGCAATGCAGGATAGCTAGAACCTCTTTCTTGAATTGTGAGTACCGCCGCTCTGGCGAATTTAGGGTCCTACTCTCAAACCTGATGGGTCTTTCCTTGCCCTCCTCACTTCTCTGTATCAGTACTCGCCCTACCGCCAAGGGTCCTCCGTCCGTTTCTAGGATAAAGGGTCGTCCTACTTCGTCATTGAAGCAAGGTGCTGCCAAGGTGACTTGATCGGAAGACAGGACATCTTTGAGGGTCTGGACTGCCGCCTCGCTATACTCAGTCCACTCCATGGTCCCTCCTTCCCTAATCATTGCGCGAATAGGTTCAGCTATCTTGGCAAAGCCTTTGATAAAAATTTTTCAGAATCCAACCACCCCTAGGAAGGTTCGTACTTCCGTCGTGGTGCGCAGGGGCGTTGGCCATTGAGAGATCTTATCCGTTTTTGCCGAGTCAGGTTTCCTTCCATAGGCCCCACAGCGAAACCCCAGTCTGGTGACTTCTGGGACCGCCAGAATGCTTTTAGGTCCGCTTGCGGTAATATTATATACCAGGAACCGCTGAAGTAGGTCCTTGATATCTTGTAGGTGATCCCAAACGAACTTTCGTATGCCCGGCTGGACCTCTATCTCATCCTTGTTTTGCGCGCCTTTTATGGGATTATCGTCTATGTAGGGCTCGCATTTTTCTGGGAATATGTCCCCTGCAACCGCAAGCATCCTCCTCTGTGCCTCTACCACAGCATTTGTGAAGCCATAGGGAGTCACTTGCATTTGCAGCTGACCTACAGGGGTGTGCATGGCAGTGTAAGGTCTATCCCTCGCGTCGAGCGGTAGTTGGTCATAGATCTATCAGGGAGTAAATGCTTCGTCCCGCGTGAGACTCTGCCAGTAGGTCGGCTTGCGGAAGTGATCCCGCATCCTGAATCGTAACCGCATTCAGCTTTTGCAAGTCCTGGATCCATCTGAGCGATTTGTTGGGCTTCCGAAAAACGAACCATTTGTTCGCATAAGGGGATGAGGTGGGTTCGGCCACAAAGGAATCTATCTTGGCTCTAAGCAAGTCAGTTACCTCCGCCGCTATTCCGAATTCATAGGCAGGCCCCTTGTCATTCCAACATTCGTGCTCCACCGTGTGGATCCTAACGGGGGAAATTAGCTTTGCGTCCAATCGACCTTTCTGGTGGTCATTGAAGGCGAAGGCTAGGTGGAATTCCTGGCACGCCCTCCTTATCAACTGAGTCTCTTCCGCCGTTAAGAACCCTTCTACCCCTATGTTCATGGCCTTCGCTATCTCATCAGGTATCCTATGCCCTTCCGTCGCTCGCCTTTCTCTTATTGCCCGCAGGATTTCTTCCTCCTTTTCCATGGCCTCTTCCCTTGATATTTCTACTAGGATTGAGACCGGCTTGGCTTTCTTCCCTACGGGTTTGTACTTTCGCACACTCCCTTCTGGGATCGTTCTACTAAAAAATGAACGGTCGGGATTTGCCTTGCTACTTCCATGACGCGGGGCTTGATACTAAATACCTTCCCATTCAGGCAATAGCCTTTTCGGACCTCATCTTCGAATTTGGCAAGCGCCGCTGGGTCCACTCCCACTTTGTGGTACCTGATGGCCTTAACGAGCTGTAACAAGTCTGGAATTTCCAGTACTCCCTCCGAAGTTTCCTTTCGGTCTTCCTTTGATTTGGGCAGGCTGGCCCCAAGCTCGACTTCCACCTCCTTCTCCGCCACCATAACCCCTAGCACCTCATCCTCTTGCCTCCTTTTCTTCAGAGGCAGACCTATCTTGATCCACTCCTTCTTACTAAAAGTCTCCTCAATCATAATCTCTACTCTTTCCCTCACACCTTCCATTCGTGCGAATGCCCCCTTTCGCGCACTCTCTTCGAACGTAGGCGACCACGTTGCCAATTTGCCCTTCGGGGGATCCCCTCCTGTCCCAAGGAGTCGGAGGAGTTCTCCACGACCGGTCACGGGGTCCTCTATATCCACCATGTATATGCCATCATGCAGATGCATACATATCATCTCTACATTGGCGCACCACGGTCTTCCGAGAATTATGTCATGGTCCATTTCTTCCATCACGGTCATCCGCTGGAAGGACCAGATTGATTCCCTGATCCCTGCCCTGACTGCGCATTTCGTAACATACTCTGCGAAGGGAATCTCCCCGCTAGCTCCCCAGATATTCCCCGTTACTTCCTTGTTTACGGTGCAACCCGTAACTGTTGCAAAGTCTCGTATAAGGGTAATTTCCGCACCACCATCCACTAACGCGTCTGTGTGGTGGGTTTCGATCTGGACTTTCAACTTCCCTTCGGGCAATGCATGGAAGCTAAGTTTTGTCCCGAGTGGTGACCTCATGACTTCACCACCCTCTCGGTCCGGTAGGCTTAGACGGATGTCTGCAAAGGCTTTTTCCAGGTCCTCTAGATCCCCTGGAATTCTCTCAAGATTGGAGACTCATTGCGGCGCCTCAGCCATTTCTGTTTCCTGCTCGTGGTTCCGGGGTCTCCTCTACCTCTACGAGTCGGCGCGTTAGTAAGTGGTGGAGTCGCTTAAGCAATCTCAGGCTTGCTTGCAACATGGTTTGAAAGGATACAGATACCATGGTACCTAGCAGTTTGCTCAAAGTATCATCGATTTGGTAAGGTTAGTGTTGGGATTTGGTACCTGAACTTCTTCTTTGCCGCCACGGCTTTGTCTATCCGCTCCTCTTCCCTTGTCTTTTCAAAAACCTTCTCCTGTTTCCCGGTCTCGGTTTCACCTTGGTCTGCACTAGTCCCCGCGACCTCTTCTATTACCATATCTCGAATAAGTTTCTTTTCTGCCCCTGCCCGGTGGGTGGTGATGTTCACCCTATCTTGCCCATTACCTTCCAGGATGAAATTCGCCTGTGGTACGCGTCCTCTCGGTTGGTCCCAGACAATGTCAGCTACCGGCTCTGCTTCTACGGCAGCTATGTCAAGATTATTCAGGAGGATGACGACACGCTGCATTCCTCCTGGCGAGTTCCAGTTTATGCGCTCTCCTTGAGGCCCGAAAATTTCACCTTTGAGGGACCTGCTGCATCTCTGCCTCATGATATCATGGTTGAGTCTTGGGCAGGTCCGCACGAAATGTCCGACCATTGTGCAATACTTGCATTGCTCATTGGCCGGATCCCTTCTGCCATACCCCCGATTCGCTACTGCAGCCGAAACTACGGCCTCTTGGGGCGGGAGGGCGGGTCGGGACACTTGCGCCTGCATTACTAATAGCGCATTTTCCACTCTTTCTATCTTGTTGTCAACCCCGTGCACTCGTTCGTGCAGGCTCTCTATCCCCTTCTTGACCTTATCCCCCGTCTTCCCAGTCAAGTCTATAACCTCCCCTTCCCTAAGCAGGGCTAGCGTATCGGTCACCACTGTCTTTTCTGCGAGGTCTGTTACGATGCTACAGTCCACGTCCCTCGTGTACTCGAACTTACTGGTCTGCTGGTAGGCCGACAAAATGTTATCCTTGTCGAACTTGGAAAACTGCCTGAGGAAATACTTACTCATCATACGGTCTGTTACCCCGGAAATTCCTAGTGCCACTAGAGTAAACGCCCTTAGGAAGTCATTGCAAGTGGCATAGGTCTTCCTTTGGACTGCTGCCAATTCGGCTTCTGTTGCCATTTTCTCTGCCTTCAGGTACTTCCTCATAATCTCGTTCCGGGTTTCTTTCCAAGATCCACTAGAGGCGACAATAGCCATAATATCCCTTCCTAGGCTCAGGGACACGTGCTGCCCTAAGTGATCCATCTTTTATTCCTCAGTCCATTTCAGCAAGGCCGCCAGGTTCTCGTAGGCTATCAGGAACTCCGTAATGTTTGCCCCGTCGAAGGTAAGTTTCTTCTTGGCATCCGCAAGGTACCCCTGATTCTTATTCAGCGCCCGAGTGAGGGTGGCTACTATCCTCTTGAGGCCCCTTTCAGAGTTCCCCGTTTCGCCGACCGCACTGGTCCCTTCTCCTTCCTTGGTATCCCTCTGCTTTTCCCCGGCCTTTGGCGTACCCTCCGGATGAAACCATCCTAACACCCTTTCCCTGAGACTCCAAAGTCCGTCGCACGCCTTTGCTACTTTCGGTGTGGCGGGCAGGCGCCTAGCCCCCCTGTCCATAGCAGGCGGGGTCGTAGCCTTTATCGCCTTCACAGTCGGAGCGTCCCCCTTTTCCTTCCCTTTCTTGCTGGTGTTCCCTTATGGTTGTTGTCCTTCCCTCCGTGCCTGATTTCGCCCTGGTTGACCCTACGTTCCTCTCGCGACCCTTCTCCCTGGGAGTCCCTTTCATTCCCAGCCATCATTTCCTCAATAAGCCTCGCTTTATATTCTGCGGTTCGCTTTTCTCTCTCTGCCAGCTTACGGCGGGCGTCCGAGACCTTCGTTTTCTTGGGCGTAGTCCCTTCCGAGTTTCGAGGGCTCGATCTTCAATTGTCCCTTCCTTCCCTATTTTCATGAGGTCCTCTTTTGCTACCCTCGGTTTTCCCCGAACTTTCCCCTGTCGAAAGATCCTTCCCATCTTCCCTGGTTCGCTCTGGTTTTGCTGACTCTCGATCCTTCACTGATGCTTCGTTTCGTTCCATACCCATATCCGTGCCCTGACTTCCTTTGCTCCGCAGCCCCTCGACATCTTCTTCTGACGCCATCCCCTTACCTATCCTGCACATGAATTTTTTTTTTTTGCGAAACGGCCGGTTGTTCATAGCTTCCCTAGTTCCCGGGCCCTAAGGTCCTCTCATTCTTACTTATTTCCGTGTTTTGCCGTCTTAATTTTGTCGGGACGGCTTACCTAACAATTTCCTAAAGGGCGCCATTTTGTGTTTCCTCTACCGGAAGGCTCGCTGCCGTCGTTTGGCGTTTCGTCAGTGTCGTGCCCCGGTCCCTTAGGGCGGTGTCTGAGGCTAGTGGCTCTCCCCTCGAGGGTAGCCCTTTTGACTTCCTGACACCTGGATGCCCCAGCGTCCTTCAGCGCGGCTGGTCTTCCCAGTTCCCCCCTGCCATGACCTCAGGTAGGGCAGAACTCCGACCACTACTCCCTTGTTGACGGTCAGCTTCTCATTCCGGGTTTCCACCTTTTTACTTTTTCCCCGGTACTTTCTTTTCTCACGCCGGTCCCTCACGTCTGCCTTGCTCATCCGGTTCTTCAAACAAATCGGCCACCCCTGCAAGATAGTTTTCTCCCATTTTTATTTCCCTGATAATTATTGGTTCATATTCCTCGAACGCCATGCGTGGTAACTTGAATATCAGGATTTCGATGAGTTCGAGTAGTTCACGGGCTTATCCGGCCCGTGCCTAACTGACACATCGTAAAACATCCCCGTCGTCTGCGGACGAAAGTAGTGGTTCCACACTAACCAGGATTCTTGCCCTTGAGAGGCTGCCAAATACCAAGTCCACCATGAAGCGAGGCACTCGGCACCGCAGTCCCATCATCGGGTCCTTAAACTCTCGCCATACTCCTACCTCCACCCGGGTTCTCAGCCCCACGTTCCTTCTTCCTCGCACCTCCTGGCTTATCCGGTCCACTATCTTAGTAGCCCTTTGGAAGATTGGTAACAGCCCATGCCCTAGTGCCAATTCCATTCCTAGCATGTGCCATCCAACCCTCGGCAGGTATACGGTTCCTGTTACCCTTAGGTCGATATACAGGTCGTCCCTTGGTCCCCTATCGAACCTCATCCTACTCCACAAGCATTCTACCATCATGAACGCCTGGTCCCTTCCCAGGGTCACGGCTCTCCATTCAGTGTCAATTCCTCGGACCATGTAGCTTGCCAGGAGCGATACCCCCATCCGCCTCCACTTTCCGTGGGTGGTCGAGGGTGCGTGGGCCGTCGCGACATCCGTGCGTGTCTCATCGCCATTGTTGATTAGCGGTCCCCTGCACAGTTTAAACAACAAGCGAATTTTGCTTATTCCATCCATTCTTCGGCCTCACCCGGGCAACTCCCCGATTCTTAACCTCGATATCCTTCCCCCTTTTTATCCCTCCTTTTTTTTTTTGCCTCTCCTACCAGCCTGTCTCTACTTCCATTGGCTCATATAAGCAGTACTGGTCATTTACGTAAGTCATTCCCCGGCTTACCTTTCGTCAAACAACGCCCCATAGGACCTCATCGCTAACAACCGGAGCTCTTGGCCTGGTGGTAAACACAACATGCAGGATCCGCAGTACCTCATACCTCTCTTCGCCGCTGAATGGCCCCATTTCTAGAAAGGCCCGGTAATACTCTCAGTGAACCATCGCGTCCTGAAACGCCAGGCTGGCGAGATCGGCCACAACCCTCCTGACAAGCTCCACCCCGCCTAACCTCTCTAGCAAGAATGGCGTCAATCTCATTCGAACGTTTTCACTGGGCAGCTTGAAGCTTCCGGCCATGGCTACCCTAAGGTTAGCTGTTACGTCATCAAGTTCCGGGTCTGCGAATTCGAACCCCGCCTGCCACACTAGTTGCCATGCCCCCTCGAACATACTTGACGGATCTTCCCCGGCCATGCCGCCTGTTAACAGGACCTCGAACGCCCGCCACCCGTCTTCAGACACATGTAACCGACCCTCCGCACGCACATGTCCCCGTGGGTCCGGGTTCCATTCCCCGTTGTCATCCGCACGCCACTCAATTCTCGTCGCTAAGTAAACCGTGTTTTGCATAAGCTCTACCCCGACCCAGTCCAACACCGGGTGCCGGTCCTCACTTGCGGCAGGTAGGCTAATTTCTATTCCACCAGCCACTTCCCTTGGCGGCTCAATGCCCAACGGGCGGTCCTCAAGAAACGTCCTTCTTCGTGCCATTGCGCGCCTATCCTTGGTTTCCTTATTCCGCAGTTTGCAATGAACCCTACAAGGGTCAGATATCCCACTCCCTTATCTGAGTAGTATTCCACACTTGCCTGACCCGCGGCGTCCCCCGCTCCTAGTCGAACCACAGTACCTCGAACAGTTTAAACACATCATCCACATAGCAAGGTGTCGCCGCTATTGCCCGACGGATTATAGCCTCCCTAATTTTCGGAGCTACCTCTAATTGGTCGTACCTATCCATATTCAAAATGACGAGGACCTCCCAAGCTTTATCGCCATGGAAAGGTCCGTTGTCGGGCCGTACCCTGAAGGACGTTCGAGCCTTAGTCGACCCCACTGCGGGTCCCATTTAGCTCGACCCGCCCACATTCATGCTTAGGGCGCGGGTCGTTCGTCCCAGGGGCACCCCCACCTTGTGCTATGAGATGGATGGGGATGGGCCATTTGCGAGAGGGCTTTTCATTGGGGGATGTAGCTCCGCTCTCGCGATAGATGGTAGCTCTTTGATCACTCGTGGCGTTTTCTCGATTCATTTAAGTGTGATCAGGCAATTGCTCCTTCCAATACGCAGGCAGTCCAGGGAATTTATTGAGAGTATGTCTTCTTTCGTGTGTAGGCCAAGCGTCATCCATTGGGCCACACACCTTTTCACTAAGCATGGCAATCCCTACGGCATCATCGGGGTGCGGCCGCGCCGTCCATGCCCCTCGCCCCTATATTTTTTTTTTGCTTGACAATCATCTTATCCGCATATCCATTGTTGCCCTTAGTCTTTTCAGGCTTCCACATTGCACGCAGAGCATCAAGATACACATTCATCACACAAGCCATGTCCCTTTTCCCAAACACACGATCATCAAGTCCCACCCGCATTTATAGTTTTCGCTAGGCCCATATCCATCCCTTGTCGATTTTCCCATTCTTGGCCATGGTGGATGGGTGCGGGTGACGGAGGTGGGAGAAGGTAGGTGAAGGTTGGCTACGGTGGATGGGTGGGGGTGATGGAGGTGGAAGAAGGTAAGCGAAGGTTGGCTATGGTGGATGGGTGCGGGTGATGGAGGTGGAAGAAGGTAAGTGAGGGTTGGCTATGGAGGATGGGTGCGGGTGATGGAGGTGGAAGAAGGTAGGTGAAGGTCGGCTATGGTGGATGGGTGCGGGTGATGGAGGTGGAAGAAGGTAAGTGAAGGTTGGCTATGGTGGAAGGGTGCGCGTGATGGAGGTGGAAGAAGGT